TATATATATATATATATATATATATATATATATATATATATATATATATATATATATATATATATATATATATATATATATATATATATATATATATATATATGTTGCAGTTCATGAGCGGGCGGGTTGCAAAAACCGACCCGCTTTGAAAGGCTCTTCAACTAATGAGTGCTAAAAAATACTAAACCTTCCTTTTTCAGTTGCGAACACGCGGTCAGGAATTTAATTTTATGTAAAAGGCAGTGCAGAACATTGACAACCCGTATTCAGATAATTTTTTTAAAGATTGCTAAAAGCGTGCAGCAATGTGGATGCTTATAATTTATATGCATGCATACTGAAACGTAAAAAAAAAACGTGGGCTTCACTTCATTTTCTCCTGTGCAGATATCGCTGGTTTGCGCTAAAAAGAAGAATGACGCCTTGTTCAAACAAAAAAGGAACAGGCTTTAAAATTATACTCTTTCTTCAAAAATAGTATTTTTGAAAAATAATAGCATGAAAATGGACTATGTTATCATATGATACACGCGAGCATATGGAATGAAGCTCGTGTGGCTAGCGAAAAGAAATAAAAATTATTCATAACGAAAAAATTTCGCCCCAAATTAATTTCTAGCTAACCAGTCATGTGGCCAAAATTCCCTCAAATTCAAGGAAAGCGGGCTTCAAAGAACAGCAAAATCTCTGTTCCTGGTGGTTCAAGCTTCCGGGTTTAAGTTCATGCATGCTGGCGCCCAGCCATTCTTGTAGCGTCCGCCGACGAGAGACGAAAAATGTGAAATTCATTTTTTGCTAGATTGTGTTCCTCCGTTGCAATGTGTCTACATCAAGTCCAATAGATCTAAAGTGTCTGTTGAATCTCGTGGTCTAGCGAAAATTCCGAAGAACTTGCCAGCTGCTACAACTGCAATGTGAGAACAAAAAGCTTAGTGATAAGTGATATGTAGTATGCATGTGATAAGTAATAGTTATATAAGTACTTAGTGATAAGGGATAAGTAGTAAGCATGCATGTGATAAATATAGCGTGAGTGATTGAACAGCTTGGGGAACTGTGGTGTTTGCTGCATCATGACCAATGAAAAGATAATTGAAAACTGTGATGCTGAACGCCATCATCTTTTTTTAAAGTGTTATGCAAAACTCCCAATGTCATCTTGTATTGTTGCATGTGTTTCACACTTCGACATAATTTTTGTTTTACAGACATTTTGATAACAATTCTTTGATCAGGTTGGATGTTTCTAACTTTGAAAACTTAACAGATCTGGAATATCTGTAAGCATAACTGATGAATATAAAATTAAATCTAAATTTGGGCGCTTTCTGTGACATGATTAGACCAGCAGTTAATGATTAACATGAGATGTTTGTGTATGTTACGTACAACATGCTTCCAAAACTAATGAACGTAATCATAGGTCTAAACTATTGCATTTATAATCATAAAACTGCTTTAAAATCGATCTTATATGAAGTACGTATGACACAATGGATATCCCATAGAAATAGTAGATATAGAATGCGTACTTGATCACGAATCATGTCTCCACTTTTTCTCATGCGTGCCCTTATAAATCCGCCATGTTTGAATTGGACTAGGAGTGCAAACTACGAAGTATAAACAAAGCTAAAACTACGTTTTCATCGTCAAAACGTTGATCTTGTTGTCTAATTTGTAGTTTGGGGATAGATTTTGAGTTTTTTGAAGGCACAAACTGTCAAAGCAAGTGTGCAGTTACAAAAACGGTGAAAATCGTGCAGTCTTGTAAACAAAGTATTTTCGCCGGTTTCTCGAAAAAACATTTTTGCATGCTTTGTACGTCATTATTGTCACTGTTTTGCTAATATCTTATGAGATTACAAAATGATAGTTCTTTCTTCGTCGGGTTTCGTTTTTCTTTGATGTAAACAAAGGTTTTTGGGGGGTTTTTTAAACAAAAATTAGTTGTCGATAGACTGTAAATTGTCTAAATAATCGTCGAAAACTATGGTTTCAAAAGCGTTGCCTGAAGCTCAAGCAACACAGAAAAACATGAAAAGTAATTGTGTAAGTTTAAAAAGATTACTGAACTTAATTTATATTATATTATAAAAAAGTTGAAATATTTATAGAACATACCTATTGAGTTTGAGGTTGTCCTGATCTTTCGGGTTTTGTTTTGGCTTGCACAACAACGTTGAAAATTTATTTTTAAACGTTGATTTCTGTATATATTCTGTTCAGAACTGTTGCTATTCGTAAAAAAGCCCACTAGAATGGGTTTTTAGACACTTTTTTCACTTTTTTTCCATTTTAAGTCTCGATATAAAATTTTTGCAAACTTTGCATTTGAAAAAACAATTTGCACTCTCTGCAACCGCGCGAAATTCCCACTGAATTTCTTTGCCGCCTGGGAGTCTGGGAACCAAAATGCCCTTATAAATCCGCCGTTTTGTGGAGACAAATTCTTCACTGAGAAAAGACAGGAGTACGCATTCTGTATTTATTATTTCTATGGGATATCCTCATGGTTGGCAAGAAAATACAAATTTGAAAAACAAAAATTAAATGACAAATCACTCTTACATAAACATCGAAATTCATTAATAATTTCAGCCATGCAGGCAATCAGAAAGTTTTATTGACTTACTCTCGATATTCCAATTCTGATATTTAGAAGTTGCAGAAACAATAAAATCTCCGTTTTGCACAACCAGGCATTCTATGGACTGACATCTTTGAAAACGCTGTAAGTAACTCGATAGAGAAGGACTTGTTGCCTTTTGCATTGTTGCAAGTATAGCTTATACCTTTGTCATGGTTTAGTATACGAAGCATATTATACTGTACTCTGTAAAACCTTTTAATTTGTTTGTTTAGACGATTGTCCTTAAACGTCATTAAAACTGTCCCAAGAAATATTTTTCTTCAAACACATAACTTAGAAACATTGTAAGTATTTTGTCATCTTTAAGTCATATATCTTTCACATACGTCAAGTCAGTTCAATTCTTATATGCATAAAAACTACATGTACAGATTCTACATGATGTATAAAAAGAGTAGACAATTTGAAAACGTCTCTCAATTTCACAAATCCGTTCATGTGGATGTATACTTATAATGTGGAATAAACAAAACAAATTCGTGAAGATAAATTTTTTACAACCTGGGGAGGGGGGGAGGGGTTAGCAACTTTAAAACTACTTTGCGTGCGAAATTTAAATGTTTATAACGCATTTTTAGTTCATATGGCCGAGAAATCTGTTATCGCCATGTTTTTTCAATGGTCCAAATACCTGAAAATCTACTCAATTATATGTCCGTTAATAGCTGTTACATCTTTCATTTTTTTCTTTCATTTGGCACCAATGCCTATTACGCATGCTTAATTCATGCAATAACCTAATTTCCATATTGTTATTTACATTTTTCACAATTACAGTATGAAAATTATGTAAATGCATGAATTCAGCATGCTTGGTAGGTAGGCTTTGGTGCCAAGGATTGATAGTTTCACCAGCTATATTCAAAGGACGTAAAACTGACTAGATTTTCTGATATTGGGTCCAAAAATAAAACGCATAACAAATTTCCCGCCCATGCATTAACTCAAAATGCTTTAAACTTTAATATTACGCACGCAAACTATTTTCAATGCTGCTAAAAATGGTACCCCTGCTCTGGAAATTTATATTCCCGAAATTTTTTTGTTTATGCGTTATAAGTACCGTTTATTTGTTATAATTTTTTCGTTATAAGTACCCAGGGGCGTGGCGACTGGGGGGGGGGAGGGTTCGACGCCCCCCCCCCCCCAATAATTCTGAACTTTGAAAAGTTGGGCAAAATTTTTGAAAAGTTGGTCAAAGGAATGATTTAAATATTAAAGGAAATATTATATTATTTACAAAAATTTTAGAAAATCCAAAAAAAATTCAGAATTTGAGCAAAATTTCTTCGATAAACGGAGAAAATTCGTGATATCCGAAATTTTTTTTATGTCGCTAAAAATTTGGATATGTGCGAAAAAAAATTTTTTTAGCCCTAAATGATACACTGACCGAAAATATTTTGGCGACGCGGGGGGGGAGGTCGCTACAAAAAATTTCGTGAAAATGTTTTTCAAAAACGAAAAAGTTGGTCATTTTCATTGAAAAAGTTGGTCATTATGGTATGACGCTCCCCCAATCTGGAATCGTTCGCCACGCCCCTGTAAGTACCCAAACAATCTTTATCAAACTATCATCAAAACAATAGTTATCAAACATTTCATGAAATGAACGGATTTGTGAAAATGGAGCCGTTTTAAAATTGACTATTTTTGTATATACACGCTGTATAAAATTATCCGGGTGCGATCAACCTACAGATAACAACTAGCAGATCTTTGTGGGAAAGCAGCGTGTTTGCCGGATTTAACTGTGGTCAATTACTGAACCTATCAGAATAATAATGTCAATGTAAAATAAAGTTTATGAACTATTTAGGGATCTTAGTATGAACTGGATTACCAAACTGGACGCTGACTTGTTTTCTTCTCTGAATACTCTTCGATTGCTGTAAGTTCAATGAACCAGGTTTAATTAAATTAAACTTACTTGACCTAAATATTTTGGAACATAATTTGTATTCCTTTTTATTTTTAGGAGTCTTCGTAAAAACATAATCACTAAACTTGAAGACGAAATTTTCTCTGGGCTAGCTAATCTACAATATCTGTATGTTTGCACGCGAAGTGTAACGAGTTATATCGATAGGCTATCATTTAATTAACGAAAACTAAGATTACTCTTTATCACCCAATCCATGTTGAGCGGAAAATAATTTTTGAAAGGTTATACAGAGCTACTAACAGCACAGTATGAGTTGTTGAGCGATGTGATTTTATTGTGTGTGAATGTCCATAATTTGTAAATTGAAGCTATTTATTGTTTTGAGATAACTAAAGGAACGACGGTCAAATTATTTTAATGAATTCATTTTAATTGAAGATCATGTGTAAATAATGTTGTTTTTCTGTAAATGGAAAAGCATAGAAGTTGGGCTGGGACTAAATGACATCGCACAGCAGAGGACACAACTGCCTCATGCATTTAAATAATCATCAACTTATGCCGGAATACCGAAGAATATTACTAAAGTATAGCTGACTATACCAAGATAAGGACTTTCGTGTTCAAACTTTTCTCCCTGCAAAGTAATTGATTTTGTTTAGATCCCGCATTTACTTGACAAAGTACAGCAGTGCTCTGTAAATTTATGGTATTTTGGATGCACCGCTTGTTTGAGAACCTGTTTGTATCTACTGCAGCTTACCAAAACTGTTGGAATGAAGCAAATGAGAGAATATTAAAATATGCTACATAGCTTGGGAATACCGACTGAAATACACACGCTATTTTTACTGTTTTCTTTTATCGACCTAAACATATTAAGTTTAAAATAAGCCATACTGATAAAACTTTTTGCAAACATATATCGATTATCGACGTTTAATTTGAAATTGTTCGAATATGAGAGAAACGTACGAGCAGCGTATAAACCATATGTCTGCACACGCACAAAAAATAAAGTCTGCACCGTATCCCACCGAGCTTGAAGCGCATCCTATACCTATTTGAATGTTAGGGTTTGTAATCCAAGTAAGTCTATATACATTTTAAGACCTGACCAGGAACGACTGCGAAAAATGCAGCACAAGGTCCTCTGGTAGGAATTGAACCTACGGCCCTGCGATTCCGGTTAGCGCTCTAACCAACTGAGCGTACAGAGGCCAGCTGTTGAGGTGTAACCGAAAGTTCATGTATATATATAGGTAATCGGGTGAGCGGGTTGTGATAAGTCAGCCTAGCGTAAGTCAGAGTATATATATATACTAGCGCATGATTGATATTTTCCATACGCTAACATACGCTAGTACAACACGCAATAGTGTGACAGGGCCATAAAAGTATGCAGTTCTATTACAGTATGCAGTATAATGAATTGTATAATTGTATATTTTTCTTCAGATATCTTGATAACAATGAATTGATCGACATTGGGAGCTCTGTGTTTGGTACTCTTTTTGGGCTTAAAGTCTTGTAAGTGGATGTTGATGTTGGGAGAAATTTAAGTTAATTTTTCATCTTATTTAATGATTTGGCTAAACTGCTCAAAGGTTCGGTGAAAGCAACCCTTTATTGTTATATATCTAATGTGATGCTCCGTAGGTACAAGAAACGGTGAAATTTTTCATGTAGAATTTCTTCACGAGCTTACGACTGTGAATTTAGTAAATCAATGCAGGAGTACTCTTATTTAAAGGAGAAGTCCCAAGGAAGTGGTGGAATGCGGTTAAGCGGTTAAGTGGAATAAAGGCGGCAGGCACAAATTGATCCCATCAAATCAATGTCGAAGGATTTACGAACCTCCCTCTATAACGAACAAGCTAACACCATTAATACTGCCTTTCTTGCACCGTTGGACGAAAACAGAATATCAGAACCCCTCGAACGTCTTCCGTTAGAAGACCCACCAAAATTTTTGGAAGTTACTGAAGAACGTGTTCAAAAGGTTGTAGCGAAACTAAATCCTCACAAGGTGCCTGGACCGGACAATCTACCAAATTGGATTTTTAAAGAATATTCTTATCTTTTGGCCCTTCCTGTCATGAAAATTATCAATGTTTTCTTTTACGAACAGCAGTTGCCTACCATCTGGAAGAAAGCAAATGTTTCGCCGTTACCCAAAAAAAAAAACAGTGACTACATTGGAAAAAGATCTCAGGCCTATTTCCCTGACCCGCTGCATCTCTAAAGTGGCAGAAGAATTCATTTTTGGGGATTATGTTAAACCGGCAATTCTAGACATAATCGATGCTAGTCAATATGGAGGATTCCAAACTCGTCAATCACTATGGCGTTAATTCGTGTGCTGCATCACTGGTTTATAAACACTGACGGGAATGGGGCAACAATAATGACAATATTGTTTGATTATCGCAAGGCATTCGATTTTATCGACCATACAATTCTTGTAAAGAAACTGGGTAATTTGAACATACCTAGAAGTATAATTAACTGGATAATAGATTTTCTTTCTCATAGAACTCAGAGAGTCAAATCGGCCGATAGCTGTTTTTCTGCGTGGGGCCTTGTTCCGTCTGGTGTACCGCAAGGTCAAAGCTAGGTCTATGGTTATTTATTTTAATGATCCAAGACCTGAATATTAATTCCCCATTCCTGTGGAAGTTCGTGGATGATACCACAGCATCGGAAATTCTTCCCAAAGGCAATGTTAGTACAGCCCAAAACATAGCAGATCATATTAAGCAATGGTCAGAAGAAAATAGATTAAAGCTACATCCAGACAAATGTAAAGAATTGAGAATTTCTTTTAGTAAGGACCCAGTTGTTCTAGATCAAGTCATACTTAATGGTAAAGAAGTCGAAATAGTCGAAAGTGCTAAATTATTGGGAGTAACAATAAGTAACAATCTAACTTGGCATGCCCATATAAAAGAGGTCGTCAAAAAAGCCAGTAAGAGACTATATTATCTGGTTCAATTAAAAAGAGCTAGGTTACCAGTTAAAGATCTTGTGTTATTCTATACGTCTTGCGTTAGATCTGTCATGGATTACGCAGTACCAGCCTTTTATCACTCCCTTCCACAATACTTAAAGAACGAATTGATTCGACTGGGAAAAAGGGCTATTTCAATAATAAATCCAGGAATGGACTACTCTGCAACAGGAGAAATTTTGAACATCAAACCAATAGAAGAACACCATAATTTCTTATGCAAAAACTTGTTTGATAATGTTACAAAGGATCCAAACCACAAACTTTATGACCTCCTCCCACAGAAACATAACTGGCACCACGATCTCAGAAATGGTCATGAATTTGACATTCCTCATTTTAATACTAATCGTACTAAAAACTCTTTTATATTTGCGATGGCATCGAAGATGTCTTCGTAACGTTAGTGGTATCTTTTTTATTATCATCCTAGTAAAATTTTAAATATTTGCATAATTTTAACTTAATAATTATAATAGTAATTAAATAATAATTCGTATTTTGTAAACTTTACGTAATTCAGCCTTTGGCTGCAATGTAAATGTTTTATTAAACTATCTATCTATCTATCTAATTGCATTGATGCAGAACAGCGTTTTGAAACTTCAGGGGAAGGGTCTCCCTTGTTAAAATTTCTTTTCAGTCTAACGGGAGGCGAACCCCTCTTAAAGTGCTTATGACACAAAATTTCACACCAAATGTTTATGGTTGCATTGTAAAGATAACTTAAAATGACTTAAAAATTTCTTTTATAGAATTTTGGTAACTTGCTCCCTTTTCAAGATATTCAACTTTGTTTCATATACAAATATCACCGCTGTGACATCACATCACATAATGAGTTTTCAGAAAAGTATGGTTTTCTTGACGAATACGCATCTAAAAAACTTAAAAAGTGCTTTGAATATGTACTAATTTGATAACTGGTAATTAACGCTCTGTATTTGTTTGTAAAAATATTTTATCACGGTAAAATATTGCGTTTTCAAAATGTCATTATGCGATGTGATGTCACACCGGTGATATTTGCATATGAAACAAAGTTGAATATCTTGCAAAGGAAGCAAGTTACCAAAATTCTATAAAAGAAATTATTAAGTCATTTTAAGTGATCTTTACAATGCAATCATAAACATATGGGGTGAAATTTCGTGTCATAGGCAATTTAAGG